TTAGAGAGGGCTGAAAGCCCTATGAAGCGGTATATAAGTCTAGCTATTGCTATTGCTATTGCTAGAAATTTTATTTGGCTATTTGAGATATTATACTTACATAAAATATAATAGCGGGCGCAGGTGTTAAACGTTTAACGCTGATGTAGGATAAAACCTTTAACATGTGCCCTTCACGTCCTGCGACATAAGCAAGTCTAGAAAAGCAAAGTGTGAGACATTACCTGTTTTGGTAATGAAATGTCTGCAAGAAAACAACCAAGCTCAGGTACAGGTAGTCCTCGAGTTACGACCACATGTGGCTAAGTGGAAACGTTTGTGAAGGGAGTTTGCCCCATTTTACAAACTTTTTCTTGCCGCGATTGTTAAGGGAAGTTTGAAAACATGGTTGTTAGGTAAATCTGGCTTTCCCAATGACTCGGCTCGTGAGAAGGTCACAAAAGGGGATCGCGACCGTCATAAATATTTTCAGTTGTAACTTTGAACCAAACAAACTGTTGTAAATTGAAGACTGCATGTATTTTGGACCCAAGGCGATTCAGTGGCATCAAAGATAAATCTGTTATAATATCAACAGTTTTATTTAATTAAAAAAAAAGAAGAAGAAGGCTTTGGGGCAGTGTTGCTTGACACAGAAAGGTAAGAAAAACTGCCCAAGCTGAACAAAATGTTCCCTTCTGTATATCTACTGATGCTCAGAAAGAACAAAAAAAAAATTCAATGCAGCAAGAACACAAGATGATTCTCAGAATCCTTGGATATTACATGGTATGCAAATTTCAAATTTAATAGGATTTGTATGCCCTACTCCCTAAGGACTCTGGGCGGCTTACAACAATATAAAAACATTTAAAATATTTTTAAAAATACAGAATTAAAATCAATGCAACATCCATTCCATCAAATGGGGCTGGAAATTAATCAATAGCCCCAGGCCTGCCGGAACAGCCAGGTCTTGGTTGCTTTACGGAAGGCCGGGAGAGTAGTGAGGGTCCGGATCTCTGCAGGCAGTTCGTTCCACAAGGCCGTGTATCTACAGAGAAGGCCCTCCCACGGGGAGTCGCCAGCCGGCATTGACCGGTCGACGGTACCCAGAGGAGGCCCAACCTGTGTGATCTTATTGGTCGTTGGGAGGTAAATGGCAGGAGACGGTCATTAAGCATTAAGATTTGGAGGCAGGAAGGAGAAAAAATGGCATTTGGTTTGATCAAAGCGACAGACAACTTCAAGGCCTGGAATGAATCTCGCATCTCCAATGCATTAAGATCATTTCTTTTTTATTTTATTTGGTTCCTTCGAGTCGGTGTTGACTTTTGGTAATCACCTGGACACATCTCTGCAGTTTTCTTGGCAAGATTTTGTTTTTTAAAAAATTGTCATTTCTTCCTTTTTAGGGCTGAAAGAAAGTGTCCGGCCCCCAAGGTCACTCAACTGGCTTTGTGCCTAGGATGGGACTATAACTCATGATCTTTTGGTTTCTAGTCTGGTACTTTAACCATGACACTAAACTGGTTCTCCGTCTGGCCTACGCTATAAAAAGAAGTGAAAAAGTCAGATTTAAGCTTCTTTGGCTGATATTGTTGTTGTTAGTTGCAAAGCTGTGTCTGACCCATTGTGACCCCATGGACNAAAAAACAAATCGGACTTTATCCCATCACATATCCAACTTTGCAAATTCCATTGACGAGGCAAACATTTGTAAGCAGATACCCACAAGCGCCACCAGTTTAAAAAAAAATAAGGAAAGTCTTCACAAATATTCTAAAGGAAGAAGTCGGAATCCCAAATAATTTTTCCTGTGCTAGGAAAAAGATTGTAAAAATGTTGATGCTTTTTTTTTTTTAAAGGCTTCTGTGCTTGCATCCATAAAGGAGAATATTTGTAGCCCAAAGTTGAAATAAGGAGTCTGGTGTTCTCAGCTTGGGTTTTTTTTTTTTTTTGTAACAAACGTTTTGTTATCCAAACTAGGTAACATCATCAGTGCATAAATGAAGTTTTAGGGAAAGAAAATAAGCTGGCAATTGGATGCAAAATCCACCTTTATTTGGATTTCAGGACCTAGCAGACTTTCTAATCGTTCTCCATTGGCTTCCATTTGCAGTAAACTTTAGTGAGGTTTATTTTTAAACCTCCATTCTTGGGTAGTTCCAAAGCCGATTTAACTTTCATTGCTTTATTGATGCTCTCGCTTTGCTCAGTACCATTCATCCCTATCTCCTCTTTTAATGAATATTTTAAGGATTGCATTCGTTTTATTGCATCCTTGGGAACAGGAAAATGGGCTAGACTTTACTTTTTGTTTTTCTTAAAGGAAATCTGTCCCCCTTTTTAGGTGGAAACCATCCACGTAAAAAAAAACATGTACTTACCTGAGATTTTTTGAGCCCAGGCAAACTTATAGTGGATGAAAAGAACGTAGAAAATAAGTCCGCTTAAAATAAATAGGACGCAGTATAAATATGCAAACTCAGGCTCACTGATAATAGGTGCCAAAACCAGAATGATAGCCACTAACACCACAATAAAAGGAATGACCAGTGGTACCTGTAGGAGAAAGAAAAAAGGCTGCTATGTAATTAGATGTAACTGGCAGAGCTAAATAACCCTCTCATTTCTAACTGAAAATACCAAAGATGGTCTCTTTATTCCGGCCACTTGGAGCAATTTGTTCCGTGTGAACTTAATACCCGATCCTATCTGTGTTTAGCTTGGCAACGTTTTCTTTTACTCGGCTGTGGAGGGCCTGTTCGATTTCACTTTCAAAATGGAGAGAACCCAAGAACTTCTCTCTGCGTTTGTAGACTTCTTCTTGTATAAAGAAGGGAGCATAGGAGTCAACCTCAACCCCATACATGTTCCTTAGAATATTGAGAAGATACTCAGTGCCAGGGGTGAAATCCAGCAGGTTCTGACAGGTTCTGGAGAATCGGTAGCAGAAATTTTGAGTAGTTTGGAGAATCGCCAAATACCACCTCTGGCTGGCCCTAGAGTGAGGTGGGAATGGAGATTTTGCAGTATCCTTCCCCTGAAGTGGGGAGGGAATGGAGATTTTGCAGTATCCTTCCCCTGGAGTAGGGAGGGAATGGAGATTTTGCAATATCCTTCCCCTGAAGTGGGGTGGGAATGGAGATTTTGCAATATCCTTCCCCTACCACGCCCACCAAGCCACGCTCACAGAATTAGTAGTAAAAAAATTTGAATTTCACCACTGCCCAGTACCGATCAGCACAGATTCCCAAAAAGAATGTTGGGGATCCAACAATGCTA